GTTGATCACGATTTGAATGTGTTTGGATAGATGTTCTTCTTCTATCACATTTATTCAATTGTCATGTTCTGATATTTTGTACATGTTTTCTTTTGCCTTGGTTTATTCTTCCTTTGTGAGAATAAATCGACTTCTTCTTGCACATATGACTGACTGTTGACTTATTACTATCTAAAGCATAAAGAGAAGAATTTCTTAAATTACGCATTTCAATTTTTCATTTCTTTGTGTTCTTCTTCAAAAAAATTTTTGTTGATATGTACACTTTTTTCTTTTTGTCATACACTCCTGATGATGACCCTTGAATAAAGGTCGAAAGCTCGAGTAGTGTTTTAAGTGATAACTTGAACATGCATTTTGTCGCAGTGAAAATCTTATTGAAAAAAATATATAGAAACAACAATGTAGAGCAAATATGGGCACAATGGTTGCCAAACTTCAGTAAGAACTATGTGCGAATTTGAAAATGACTGAAGTGTATTAGTATTCTTTGTAACATGGTAGAACTCAACACTATCAGAACTAACAGAGATAATGAAAAATGCTGTCGTTGACATTATTTTTATTAAATAAAATCTGACATGAGCATGAAAGTATATGATACAACGTTGAGATCAATCGTGATGCTGATCTTTTAGATGATGATGGTGATGAAATAAGTGATGATGATGTTTTAACGGTGAATATGCTTCCTCATATTCATTGTTATCATTTAAACGAATGATGTACACACTCATATTGTCTGTACTGTTCCGTTTTAAACATTCATCTAATAGTTGTACACATAATTTTTTTAAATTTGATGATTTTTGTTTTAGATGTTTAATAATAAATTGTCCTACATCTTCGTTTGTCATCACATCAAATACGCCATCACAGGCGAGCACAATAAATTCCACACGTTCCTCGTCTGAGCTTCGTGGATATTCAATAATATCGGCCATCGGTGGTACTATTTCTTTACTTAATATAAAATCACCAAGTACACGAGTTATCGCAAGTAAATTTTCGACACGTGGCACATCACCAGTATTCCTTTGAACTTTACCACCGGCATCCTCAATTCGTTTTAGTTCCTCTTCATCATCCGGTTTGTGATCTGAAAGAAACAAAAATTACAAAGTAGAAATAAGTTTTACGTTTTAGATGATCAAGAGGTAGTCACCTTTAGTTGTCCTCAATATATGTCCATCTTTTGATACAAGTAATGCACGAGAATCGCCAATATTAACCAAATATATTTGTTCTGGACCAATTAAACAAGTGATCTATAAAATTCAAAAATAAAAATCTCAACTGTGCGACAAAAGGATGTAAAACTTACACAAGCAGAACCACTTTGATCTTGTATCACACTTCTCAACTCTTCATCTAGCTTATAATACGTTTCTTTGATTGCACTCTTAAATTCTTCAATGTCAAAATTTATTGACTCAGAAGAATCATAGGACGAATTGTCATGCTTTGTCAATAAATGATTTAACGAAGTTAACAATTGTTTGTCGAGACGATCACAGGCATGCTTGGCCGCATCAATACCTAAACGAAATTACAAAAAAAATAAAAACTATTTTTTAAGATTCTAAAATTTGAGTTTACCGTTATGTCCGTCGAATATTGAAAAGTAGGACCAGAGTTTCCAAAATTGATTATCAAATTCTAATAAATGTTTGTGCATATCTTCATTTGATAATCGATAGCCTTGCATAGATCCAAATGCAAACTCAATATTTTCATGTTTACCATGTTCTAATTCTTTGTCCTTCATTGGTCTTTCCAATAATAAACTCTGATTTCGACTTTTTCGATGGAAAAATCCGAAACAATGTCCATCACGATTATCATCGTCAAGTTCAGTCAAAATCTTAGCATCTGCCATGTTCTTAGTTTATTGTCCAAAAACGGGAGAAAAACTGATTATGTTCTTATTCTTAAATAAAAGTATTAAGATAACGAAATAAGTGAAAGGCATATGTAAACATCAAATATATTTGTTTTCTATTTCTTTTTCTTTTTTTATTGCACCTAACTAAATACGCATAAAATATATCCAGTTTCTTCTTACACTACAGCTACAATAAAGGTAATTTTACTCAGTCACCGAAGATTTTTGGTTTTGTTCTGTTTATTATGTATACCTATGCGCAGAAGAACGTTGCATTTATTTCTAGAACATACAAAATGAAATACAGGTAAATGTCAAGATAACAAGGAAACATAAGTTCGAGAAATAAATACAACGTTCTTGTATATATAGATATTTGATAAATGCTATATTACATATGATGTCCATGACATCAACGGCAGTAATATCCAGCGTTTCTTTTGAGTACTATTTCTATTTATAATAAGAGACAAGGAAAAAACAGTATATATAATAAAAAAATAGAAACGAATATATTTGGTGTTCACATATGTCGTTGTCTTACCTTGTTTTAAGCATAAAAACTGCACATGATTCAATACTAAACCCTTCATGTCAAAACTTGATAAAAATTATTATCTCCTATATAGGAGATACTCATCATTTAGTCAGAATGTCAACAGAAAATGTAAACTGAGAAGTAAGATTCTTAAGCTACGATATGTACATTATTAGAAAGATAAAGCAATCACTTCATTCATAAGCAAGTTTGATAGTCTTTTAGAATATCAGAAAATACGAAAATTTGTGAAAATTCATGTTTTCTGTTAAAAAGACTGACTCTCAATAGAGAGAGTATTTGGCTTCTAGTCTTTTAAAAATGTACTTTCAAAAAGAGTTATTGCAGGATTAGTGGTTATTTTGTATGCCCTTTCGAATGAGACATAAACAAAAAGAAAACAAACTTTTCCTCCGAACAGTCTCACGGTAACTAGATGGGTTTTCTGGTGAAGGCTCCTTAAGTTACTTGTTGTGTTTGAAAAGTAATTGTATTTCTGGAAAGCCTTTTCTAAACCTATGGATTTTCTTTCCCGCAGAAAATGCAAGTATAGAATTATTTGTGATCTATCTTTTGTTTTGTTTGTGGAAAAGATTTTATTTCCTATGATATATTCAAATGCGACAAAAAAACAAAATAAAATTTTCCCCCGGACAGTATGGTTGGTGCTGTGACGGAGCTTCTGTTAAAATATATCGATCTGAAAATCTCGAGCAAACAAAATATGGAGAAAAAAGCCCAGTAAATTGTGAGAATGATCCCAACAGGATGAAAGGGATGAGAAAGAAATTAGTTCAGCAATTTTTTCTTTGTTTACATCACGTAAAAACTTTGTCTTTAACGAGCTCACTTTGGTCAAGCTCTAAGAGGTTAGTGTGACTGATTTCTTGGTTTTATTCTCTTTAGTCAACGATGACTCTCACTTTTCGTCAATAAACTAGTCTTAGTCGTCTTTCACAAGGCTTCCCATTTGAAATGATTTCACCAAAGAGAATAAAACCAAAAAATTATTCACACTAACCTCTTAGAGCTTGATTTTAAGAGCGATATATTATATTTGTCTCATTCGAAAGAGCATACAAAATAACCACTAACCCTACAATAACTCTTTTTGAAAGTACATTTTTAAACAACTAGAAGCCAAATACTCTCTCTATTGAGAGCTAGTCTTGTTAACAGAAAACGTGAATTTTCACAAATTTTCGTATTTTCTGATATTCTAAAAGACTATCAAACTTCTATGATTGTTCACGGCTCATTTGAAAGAGGAATGTTTACTCTACAAGATCATGTGTTTAGACATAATAATATGTTTAATTATCTAGGAATAAATAATAGAAAACTAAAAAGCTCCATATTTTGAAAATTGGATTTTTCTTAGTGGTTTTTATATTTAGGTCATGCACATGGCGGTCCCAAAATAAATTTTGCTTTATTTTTTAGAGAAGGCAATTCCGCATGGTTTCACATGTAATAGGACATTTTAAAACACTAAGATGTTGCACTTTTAAATCAAATACTGAAGATAGACATAGGTTTCATAATTTTCTTACTTTTCTAAACTTTGATACAAATCTCAAAGATCTGGACATATAAAACATTTTGAGTCATTACAGATGTAGACATCGGCGAGCTCTTTGCGATACTTGTTTATGATTTTCCACACATTTTACAATAAGCACTGCATTTAAGGATCGTCTCCCACTGGTTTTTATTTCAGCTTTGATCCACTGACCAAATGCAATAATTTCAAAAGTTTCGTCAAAACTTGATAAAAATTATTTTTCCTAATCATCTAAAAATTTTATATAAATCCACTTGCGGTACCACCAGCTTATCTGACTTCTTTTTTAAAGAGCTCTATTTTAAACGATTACCCTAGAGAACGTACTTGATGCAAGTACTTGATTACTTGCTAAGTACGTGGAAAAATTGGCAAGTGTTTTCAAAATTTCTTACTTGCCATATACTTTCATAAGTACTTCTCAATGATAAAAATACTTGCTTTTATTGCTAAGAAGTTGTTTATGAAAGTCCTTGGCAAGTAAAGGCTTGACATACTGATTTCACTATGTTTTATCCGGTTTTCTCTTCGGGGGGTTCTTTCTTTCTGTAACTATGTGATTGTCAAACAGTTCGTTTGTAATTGTTTTCGTGGGATACTTTATTCGCATTTGTGTGTATGTTTTCTCCTCCATAGAGGGAGGAGAAGCGATGTGGGGAATACTGGTCACAGTTCCACTTTTGAGGACTTTTTCCGCCTATGCCTGTTCCATCCCAACAGACTCCTTTTTCACTTTCATTTCTCGATTTAAGTCTGTTAAAACAACACTTAATAGTAGCCAGATGCATTTGTAAAGCAAAAACAGTTCACTTCGTTCATTTTCGTTCAAGTGCATTACTGTATTACACATTGTGCACCAAAGAAATACTTAATCAAGTGCCTGCTCGGGTAGTTTGTTTTGCTTTTCTCAAATAAATTTATGAATACGGGGATCCGAGTAAGTACTACTTCGGTAAATATACTGATATGGGTACCTGAGAAAGTACCCGTCTCGGTAAAGTTACTGAAAATTTTTCGAAGTGCCCAAAACGGATACCCTGCTGGAACTTCCTCAGTACATGGGTATCCTGAACTCAGTGCATTCACTAAGGGTTGCTTACCTGGAAAAAAAATTTCTTTAAAACGCATTTTAGTTGGTTTTCGTGTCTGTGAAAATAATCTTGTATAGGAAGAAGAGTTTTTTGAAATTAAAGCAAAAAATTTAGTTTCTGTGGTAACGAGAATCTTCGTTTACTTCTGCTTCTCGGCTTGTCCAAATGTTACGGAATTACTTTTTTTCAACTTTCACATGCCATAACTTTTCTGAGAATGATCCAAATGCAATGACGCTTTTACCAGAGATAGACTTTTGAAAATTTCGTTGAGTTTGGATCATCCCATAGGGAGTTATTAAAACAATAACGACCGTTATGGAATTACCGAAAATGGACTTTTTTTTTCAGTGATGTCTAAGATTTACATTTTTCTGCTCAATGAAAGCTTTTTTTGAGATGTGTTCTGAAGCACAGTTATGTAGCTTGAATAACTGAAACCATTGCATGCCACTGTAGAAAAACGTTCTGAAATCGTTTTGACTTGAAGAAAAACCCGTTTCATAACTTGGTCTTTCGAAAAACCAACTTTCTTGGAAAGCACCTAAACTCAAAAATAAATACACTATCTTGTAGAAAATGTAGTTCTCTACAAAATACCATAACTCTTAATTTTTTTCTCGAAAATATTTAGGCCAAGAAATTAAAAATAAAATTTGGATTTCATTTTTTGAGGTCAAAAGTTAATTTTTTGGAAATTTTAAGTTGATATTTGAAATCAGCTTCAAAAACTACGTTAGACGATGTGCTTCACAAATTCTTAAAGTTAAAAAGAAATTTTCGAACCATCCGATGGTTCGAAAATTAAGTTAAGTGAAAGTGACCGTTAGCTGGGCAGGCCGTTCTGGATTTCCCTTCAAGAAGACTGAAATTAGCGAGTAAAAGAGAAGAAAGCTAAGAATCGCTAGAAAACTGTTTTATAAAGCAGAAAGCTTTAGTCAAGATTAGAAAAAGATTTAACAAGACGGCAAAAAACGTTTATTAAACCCCTTTTTAGGGGTTTAGTAAAATGCAATGACACGCCACCGCTTTTAGGTTTAGTAGGCTTAGACTTAACTTGTGAAGCGTGTTGTTGCATTTTGCTAAACTCAAAAGGCGTTCAGGAAACGACTCTTTTTGTTTAGTGTGTATGTGTGGTATCTGGTGTATGCATAAGAGAATACAATAGTAGAATACTGGGCGAAAAGAAACGTGGGACGCGGGGATCCATAGAGAACGTTGTTGATGAGAGAGGTCCTGTGCAGAACTCTTCTTTTGCAAAGGTTCGATATCGAACCACTTAAATAGTACTGAAACATTTGTGGCCAGAACCTTTTATCGGAAAGAAAAAATGTGTGAGACAGAACCTTGTTTTGGCTTCAATCTTAAAAACGTTTTATCCGGCATCGTTTTTTTTTTAGAGAGTGATGTATGAGACAGAGAGATTGAAACGAAAGCATAAAAGAACACAAAAAAGGAGAGTGCTACCGCGGTGTTTGCTTCCTAAGAGTATAGACATTACGGTCAAAAGAATCTGTCTTCTTCCAGTTATTATAAAACACTTTTTCCCTTTACGTAAGTCTAAGGTCTAATAAAAATGGTTGTCTGTAACTTTGATAACACAAAAAGTCGTCTACGAATAATGAAGAATATAGATACTATATCATAGAGCTAGAGCTCTTTATGAAACGTCAATTTTTTGAATTCACCGACTAGAACCAGATAAGACTGGACTTAAACTTTCAAGAACTTATTCGCCTTTGGGAAAAAGCTCGATCAGAAATTTTAATTCGTCTTCTCTCTTCCGGACATTCAAAGAATC